TTTCAGCTCCATCTGAGACCATCAGAACACAAACATCTGAACAGACAAACAAACATTTGAACACAAAGTATGCAGTTGCTAAGGTGCTTTAGGTGGCTGCCTGAGTGTTGCTATGCAGTTGCTAGGGTGTTGTGGGAGGTTGTCAGGGAGTTGCTATATGGTTGCTAGATAAACACACTCTGACCTGAATAACGACCTGATCATTCAGTGAGAAAATAAGCGTAAAACTGAACAACAACACTGCTGGAGGAGCTCCAGGACGTTCACGAGACGCTTCATTTCTTCACTTTCATCTTCTGGGATTATGCAGGAATCTGACGGGGTGGAAGGTGGAGCAGGGCTGCGTTTCTCAAAGCCAGCGTGAGTTTAAGTAGATAGAATTCAACGTTTGCTTATAATTGTCAGACATTCAGCAGCGGTTCTTCAATCATGAGAGTCACCAAACGTCTGTTTCACAAATGTCACACAAAGTAATGAGATCAAGCAACAATGTGCAAAAGGTCACCACAAACCGACATTTAAAAACAATCAACAGCAAATAAAGAAAATGCCATGCTACTGTGCCAACATTTACAACACAGTCACTCAATTAACCCTCAGTCATGTGACCTGACTCCTAACGAACACACGACTCAGTCACACCAACCACACAGTTAAACAGGTTCTGATGACTGTGTGTGTGTGTATGTGTGTGTGTGTGAGAGAGTGTGAGTGTGTGTGTGAGAGTGTGTGTGTGTGTGAGAGAGAGCGTGCGTGTGTAAGAGTGTGTGTGTGAGAGTGTGTGCGTGTGTAAGAGTGTGTGTGTGAGAGTGTGTGTGTGCATGTGAGTGTGTGTGAGAGTGTGCGCAAGAGTGTGTGTGTGAGAGTGTGTGTGCGTGTGTGTGAGAGTGTGCGTGTGTAAGCGTGTGTGTGTGTGTGTGAGTGTGCGTGTGTGAGAGTGTGCGTGTGTAAGAGTGTGTGTGTGAGTGTGCGTGTGTGTGAGAGTGTGCGTGTGCGTGTGTAAGAGTGTGTGTGAGAGTGTGCGTGTGTAAGTGTGTGTGTGTGTGTGTGAGTGTGTGCGTATGAGTGTGTTCGTGAGAGTGTGTGTGTGAGAGTGTGTGTGTGCATGTGAGTGTGTGTGAGAGTGTGCGTGCGTGTGTGTGAGAGTGTGCGTGTGTAAGCGTGAGTGTGCGTTTGTGTGAGAGTGTGCGTGTGTAAGAGTGTGTGTGAGAGTGTGTGAGAGTGTGTGTGTGTGTGTGTGTGTGTGTGAGTGTGTGTGTGTGTAAGAGTGTGTGTGTGAGTGTGTGTGTGTGTGTGTGTGAGTGTGCGTGTGTGTGAGTGTACGTGTGTGTGTGAGAGTGTGCGTGTGTAAGAGTGTGTGTGAGTGTGCGTGTGTGTGAGTGTACGTGTGTGTGTGAGAGTGTGCGTGTGTAAGAGTGTGCGTGTGAGTGTGTGTGTGTGTATGAGAGTGTGTGTGTGCGTGTGAGTGTGTGCGTGAGAGAGAGTGTGCGTGTGTGAGAGAGTGTGTGTGTGTGTGTGCGTGTGTAAGTGTGTGTGTGAGTGTGCGTGTGTGTGAGTGTACGTGTGTGTGTGAGAGTGTGCGTGTGTAAGTGTGTGTGTGAGTGTGCGTGTGTGTGAGTGTACGTGTGTGTGTGAGAGTGTGCGTGTGTAAGTGTGTGTGTGAGTGTGCGTGTGTGTGAGTGTACGTGTGTGTGTGAGAGTGTGCGTGTGTAAGTGTGTGTGTGTGTGTGTATGTGATCGTGTGTGTGATCGTGTGCGTGTGTGATCGTGTGCGTGTGAGTGTGTGCGTGAGAGTGTGTGTGCGTGTGTGTGTGTGCGTATGAATGTGTGCGTGAGAGAGAGTGTGCGTGTAAGAGTGTCTCATAAAGGCTCAGCGCAGGATAACAAACACACCGGGACGTGCGCTTTGATGAGAACTCAAAACAGATGAAGGAGAGTTACCTGTGAAAGCCACCGGCTACACAAAACAAACAGCCAGAGAAACTGAGACGACTCCATCAGCTTTAACCACCGAGAAGATCCCATAAACTCTAAGATAACACCACAGCTATAACGATCACGGCACAGAGGAAAGATATCGCTGGAATCACTTTAAGAAGGTATTTTGTCCAGCTGATTGACAGCCAATTAGAATCCCTCCTGCTGTAAGAGCTTGAGCATTTAAAGCTACAGACAACAAAGTTGCAGCGTTTATAATAAACAGAACGTTATCGTCCACTGGTGTGGATGCTAATACAGTTAGTAATCATTACAGTTAATGTTACACACATTATATTGCTATCACGTTATTGCTATCATTATAGTTATCGCTGTAGTTACTATTATATACATCAATATAATTACTGTTATAGCTACAGTTAATGTTATAGTTAGCATTAAGAGTTTTCATTTTAGTGTCACTAACCATTATAGTTATAGCTATCAGCATCATTGCATTCAGACTCGTGTTACAGTCATCATTATACAGTTATTGCAATAGTTATGGTTACAGTTATCGTTATTGCTATAGTTACTGTTATGTTTACCATTACAGTTATAATTATTGTAAGGGGTGTTTTATTGCAGTTACTGTTATGATTCACATTCTAGTTATGGTTATCACTAGCTGGGTTTCCATCCAAAGTTGCGAATTAACTTACACACAAAACTGGAATATAGCCATATAATTTCCATATATAATAAATTACTTGCGAGCTGACAAAACACAATAAATGTGGTCATTGCTTTCGGAGGCAGATGTTGCTATGGATGGAAACATAGCTACTGTAGTTATAGTTTTCATTATAGCTATAGATATTGATATAGTTATCATAGTTATGGTTCTTGGTGGTGAACGGGTGTTTCTGCATCCTCCTCCTCCTCACACCTTCCTTCATCACTCGTGTGAAACACACTCACGCGTTACAGTAGGGTTTCTTGTCGTAGCCTTTGTAGTTCTTCATGTTGAGCGTCATCTTACACACTTCACAGTGGAAACAGCCTTTGTGCCAGTTCTGAAAAACCACAGGACATCACATCATTACTGCAGATTCTGAGCAATTAATAATGCCACAATGATAACACAAGGGCATCTGCAGATTAAACACACTGTCCAGTCTGAACATGTGTGTGATTCACTGATGAGTCTGAAGAGATGGATAATAATGGCACACTGTGTTTCACTGATGCTGTACCGCGGTATACTCTGACAGTTACACAGTCCTGGATGTTTGTCATACATGTGTCCCTGCAGCACAGAAGCAGTGTTGAGTCGCTGGGGGATATTTGTAGCAATAGCCAACAATACATTGTATGGGTCACAATTATACATTTCTCTTTTATGCCAAAAATCATTAGGATATTAAGTAAAGATCATGTTCCATGAAGATATTTTGTAAATCTCCTACCGTAAATATATC